AATTAAAACTAATAAAATAATCTATAAACTATATAAAAATATTAGAAAAAATATAAAATATAATATAGAGCTAAAAACAAATATATACTAATATAGAAAAAAAAGTAAATTTTATTACAATTGATTTATCTTTAGTTGCAAAACCTTTTTTTTTTTTTGCTTCTACATCTTGCTTTTCACTTAAAAGTTTTTCATGTTTTGTTCCTAAATAGTAACCTTTTAAAACTTCGATTTTAGATGCCTTTAAAGGTTTAAAAAGTAGCATTGTGACTGTTTGATTAATACAGGCTATAAATTCTGTCTTTATAGAAGCATTATCCAGAAGTTGGCAGAATGTATCTTCAGCTTTAAGAAAGACTTTATAAAATGTTGGGTTGGTATCTAATAACTCTAAAGAAGAACTCAGAAGATCTTTTATATTAGGCCTATCAAAGTACTAGCACTTATCAATAATATTAAGAGAAATTGGTTCTTCTTTAAAAATTATATAATAATATAAAAGTTTATAGTTAATTCTTATTAGATACTAACAAGTTGTTGCTTTGTTATATTTTGTTGAATTTTCTTGAATTTCAACTAAAAGACTTTTTATTCTATCAATTGCATATGTCAATATGTTACTAATAATTATACTAAAGTAAGAATTACACAGAGTGAATGGATCACAAGCTACTTTGTTGGTACCAGTGTATATAGTCATTTTGAGATATTGTATTCTCATCTTTTGATTAATATTTTCAAAAACTGATTCTAATTCACTGGCTGTTTCTATAGCATATTTGAAAGCACTATGTGATAATTTAGCACATGCAGTTGTTAAGATACCCATATGATAGAAATTTTTTGTAAATGCATAAATCTATAATTTAGAGTTTTTCATTAAAGTATTAATATATGCCAAGGGTTTTTTGGGATCATGTGCCTTTTTTGCAATGTTTTTAATAGAATTAATTGCTATTATTATATACTTTTTGTCAAATATTAATTGTAAAGTCATGACTTCTTTTTTAAATTCAGTATAATTATCATTACTGTTAAAAAGCTTATAGCAATTTGTTTTAAGGTTTTGATCTATCAAATACCATGTATATAATATTTTGTTTGCTTCTAAGAAAACTTCTCTAGAGGCATTTCTAAGTACTTGATCTCTATCAGACATAAATATACACAGAAGACAATTGTAAGCATTATATACTTTTTTGCAAAGCATTGTCAAAAACTACTTATAAAAATCCTTATTTTTATTTTGTATCTATGCCATTACAATCTGAAATGTTTTTAAAAAACCTTTTTCATTTGCAATATTACTAATACCCACTGCACTCACAAGAAAAAATTTATATACATTTGTTTTATAAGTAACATCTACAATTAAAACTTTATAACATTTCATAGTATGTTTTGCTGTTTCAACATAAAAAAAAAACAAATGTGTTAAATATCCATCTTGTGTTTTAAGCAACTTTATCATATAATCCTGTTGTTAAAGAAGATGCAAAAGCTTTTAAGCATAGTCAGCATTAGGACCTTTATTAAGCACATATTTAATTTATGCTCATTTGTTCACTACATCTTTAGGCATAATGATATCATTGTTATTAACTTTATTGATAGCATTAGTGATGATATGTATAGGTGCATTAATGTTAATTAGATCATACAAAAGTTTTTTTGAGTTGATATTTAAGCATTAATGTTGGGGAAGGCTCATTATTTTATTTGATATAAGTAGTAAATGGTTATAAGTATATTCAACATCTGTGATAATCCATATATTAGATAATTATTTTTTAGCTACTATAGCTCTAATATGTACAGGACAGTTATATCATTTGGTTTTTGACTTTCTTTTACATAATTCAAGAGTTACATTTTAATTATTATACCAGTTACTACCTTTGTACATTGTAAAATAACATATGAAGACTTGCTATTATTATTATCTAGGTTGCTACTATGTTATAAAAAAGCAAAACCTTTGGCTTTTATGACATCCTGAGCAGCCTCCTCTAAAGCTTCCAAAGTTAAAAACTCATCATTTACATTAAGTATATTTATTAAAAAAAAATTTTTTTATAGAAAACCTTGTTGGTACTTTATAGTATAAGTATAATTTATTATTTGTGTATTTAATATGTGATCTTTATGCTTAACAATAGTAAAAGAGAAAAATATAACTACATAAAAAAAATTGATAGAGAAATATATATAGTAATGATCATTTAATTTTGATCTGTGTAACAATAATCTAATTATATTCTTAAAATTTATTATATAATACAGTAATATCAATATCTGTATGCCATATACTAGTAATTGGTAGGTATAAAATTATATGAATGATAGGTGTCCAAAGGCTTTCCTTAAATTTTTACTATTAGCACATAATTTATATCTTATAGGAAAACATTCATCTGATTAGCTAAGTTTTATAGATCTACTTGTAATTTTCTGTAATAATTAGCTAATCATATTATAATTTAATCAAATGAATTCATAATACAGACAAAAGTTTATACTACATATTAGCAAAACTTATATACTATTCTTTATTAATTATCCTTTATTAATTATATTTAATTACACATCAAATAAAAATCATCTTTTAATTATTGCTGCCTTTGTTAAAGATGCTATATATTACCTTTAAAATATATTATCAATTAGGCAATATTCTACTTAATAAATTTCTAGTTGTTACATTTATCAAAGAAAAACTTTTAAGAAATTTCATTATTTATTATAAATTCTTAAATAATATTATTTTCAGTTATTACAGTTGTTGCATCATTATTTTTCATTTATATATTATTAATTAATATTACATATTTCTATCTATACTATTGTAAAGTCATATTAAATTTGCTAAATACTAAAGTAATATAAATAAGTATTAGAATTATTAAAAAAAGTAGTTTAAACTTAAATACAATATGTTAACAGATTGTAAGAATTTTTTTCAAATCTAAATTCATCTTAAGTGCCTCAATCTTCTTTTTCTGTTTGTTTTTGGCATTTAAAACTTATATATAGTTAATATAACTAGTACTAGTAAGTTTATAATAAAGATATTCACTTTTTAGTAAAGTTTTTGAAAAGATAGATTATTTTGAATTAATTTTAATAATGAATAATAACATTTGTTAAAAACTAGAATTTGCTTTTATGGAGGTTTTTTTTGTTAGTAAAATGTTACACTTTTAAAAAATACTTTAAAATATATAAATAAGTTATTTAGGCAATTGCTTTACATTAGCTGATTAGATGAAAGTCTGCCTATGAATTTATATCACTTGCAGAAATAAGTATTTTCTCTTCTAATTCTAACAGTAAAAGAAACTTCTAAATAAAAAATTTTGTATTATATAATATTCTAATCTTATATAATATTTTTAGCCAATAAAATTATGAATTTTAATAATATATTGTAATATTATAGATATTTTTAAACATTATTTTATATTATTTTATTGATATTATATTAGTTTTATATT